GCAAGAAGTAAAGACCCAAACTACCTGGGTTCAAATCCCAGCTAACCACTGTGTTAAAACCTTTTTGAGCCTATGATCCCTGCTTCGTCAAATGTGAATAACACTGATTCCCAGAACTGTGTGATATGGAGGTAAGTAAGTCAATATGCACTTATAACAGTATCTGGCACATAGTGTTTTTAAATGTAATACTATAGGTCATGGCCTGACAAACTAATTTTATATTGTTACACTTATATATAAGCAAAATAGTTAACTGTCACAAAACCATTTTGCAAAAAGGTCATTTAATGCCTATATGGGCTAACAGAAAAACGGTACAATTTAGAAAAAGTAAAGCCTGAATTTTACCAAACAGATAAATGAAATAATTTACTAGCTCTGGACTTTTCTGCCTTATCAGGGTACATTAACCCTGTACTCACTAACAGCAGAAGTTATTTAAAAACTTACAAAAAAGGCTTAAATTAGGTTGCTTTCCTAGATTTTTAAGCATCTAAGATGTAAAAAATATGCCTTAAGGTCACTATCTCTGTCCTTTTTTTCACCAATTTGCCAAGACTAAAAAAGTTTTTCCTTTTGGTTTCATTTCCTATAAATGATGTAGTATATATACCCCACTCTGGTCGTAAACACCCTGGCAAAACTAAAATTAATCTAAAAAGTAATAGTAATATAAAAATTTATTTAAGCATTTTTTGAAATTCATGTTGAGTAAAAGTGTTCCTTCTCATTATTAAGGGGTTTGTGAATATTTTGAAATTCATGTTGAGTAAAAGTGTTCCTTCTCATTATTAAGGGGTTTGTGAATATAGGGTTATTTTCTTTTAGTTTTGAAGTTGCACAAACATAAGGGATCAAATAAAATAAAGCCTCAAAGAGTTCTAAGTAAAAGCAGGAATGGAAAGAAAGCCCTAAAAACTGAATCAATGTCTCCTGCCTAAAACCTCATTGATCAGATTCTTTGGCAATTATTAAAATGAAAATGTCATAGAGATTTTAAATAACTCTACACAAAAATTACTTACTCTGTAAAGTTAACTTAAACCCACTACAGTTATTAGGGTTTATACAAAAATGGCATGCAATGTTTTGCTAAACTACAAAAGTTAACTCACATTATCACTGAACATAATCACACAAAAATTACTGAAAATGATTGGCAGATGAATAACATTTAATAAAAATGGAGAAAATGAAGCAGTGCTTTGGATGATTTGTGGTTATGCTTCATTTACTCATAATAGGTCTATTTCTTAAAAAATTTCCAGGCCAGGCACAGTGGCTCATACCTGTAATCCCAGCACTCTGGGAGGCCAACGAGGGTGGATCACTTGAGGCCCGGAGTTTAAGACCAGCTTGGGTATCATGGCGAAAACCCATCTCTACTAAAAATACAAAAATTAGCTGGGCATGGTAGCATGTGCCTGTAGGCCTGGCTACTTGGGAGGATGAGGCGGGAGAATCACTTGAACCCTAGAGGTGGTTGCAGTGAGCTGAGAACATGCCAGCCTAGGCAACACAGTGAGACTCTGTCTCAAAATTTTTTTTTCCGAGGACAGTATTCGATAACCCATAATTTTATTTGTAACTTATTAACTACTGTTCCTTAAATAGGTTCCTAAAATACTTACATGTACCTTGAGCAAATTATCTTTTTGTCTCAGAAGAAACCACCATGTATCTGAAAATTGTTTTTAATTCATTCTACGCTATACAATTCTGGTTAATTTATTATCTCTTTCCTATAATCCCTAAATTCTCAGTCTTGTTTATGGTTTTCTGATCTCTTGTTGGAAGTGAAATACAGATCAACAAATATCATTTTGAGACACTGCTTTACTCCTTATACAAATCAGTGCTACTTTCTTCTCACTTTTTAAAAAGGTATTACTCTCTTGTATTAATTTTGATTTATTTCTCAATATAAAGTCTAGAACCAAATATAAAGTAAGTTTCTCTTCATCTCACACTTGTGTAACTCACTTTCATTTCCAGAAAATCACTTTTTAGTGATTCACTACTTACAAATAAATAGAAACCATAGTACTCACACAGAATCAAATAAATCTTTATACTTGCCTAGGTATGGAAGTTAGTTACCTGAGTCATCAGAAGACAGTTATTATCTGCAAAGTGCTCAAGAGCTAATAAGTGAAATTTATTCACTGTGATGCATTTGACTACAACTTCAAATGTGTATTAAACTTACAAGAATAAACTTATGGTAAACCCACTATTTTTTCTCAGTAGCCCAATCAGTCTACCCTAGACAGTTACATACATATGCCACGACAATATTCCACACAGCAAATTTCAAATAACCTAATTCAAACATTAAAGTAAATTATTACATATCCCAACCACTTCTGTACTTACAAGTTCATAATCAAATATACATATCAAATTATTCTCTTTAAAACTCTAAACCAAATTTTTACAGGTTTCACTAGCTAATTTGCAAATAAACTGGCTCATGTATAAACCAAACTGGTTTCTGCAACTCCCAGTAACATCTTTCTCTTGCATTTTTTTCCCTTTAAGTAAGAGAAAATGTGAGGATAAACTTGCACATTTTGTTTGTATCTAAATATGTGGTCCTCAGTTTACTTTTATTTAAAATGAAAGCACCTAAATGAATCAAATTTAGAAAACCTCTTTTTAGTTATGGTTCACACTTGCAATCCTAGCACTTTGGGAGGCCGAGATGGGAGGATCACTTGAAGCCAGGAGTTCAAGATCAGCATGGGCAATATAGTAAGACACTGTTTGTACCTACACTGCTGTTTGTACCTACACAGATGTAAATCGGTGTGTGTGTGTGTGTGTGTGTACCACCCCCCCACACACCGATTTACATTAATTGTCAAAAAGCAAAAACACACTTACTTAAAAATACCAAACTTTACAAACACCCACAATGCACATACTGCGCCTATCATTCCGTAGTGCCAACATCACCAATTATTACTCCATATACAAAAACATGATATTAATGAGAAACAATGACACTTATATTTTAACTTACAGACCTATAGATTTCTATTTTAAGGAAATCCACTTTTTTAAATAAGGTCGTAATAGGTTGGGTGAATTTTTAAATGTTCTTTAACTTAAAATAGGGAACAGGGACTTATTTGTCATTACCACAAGCCAAGATAAACATGGGTGTCCTAGGAAATGTCTAATTTCCCCACAGTAATAAACATCTTACTAACATTATAATAAAAACAACATTTTTTGGGGGGGGAGGATGGAGTCTCATGTAGCCCAGGCTGGAGTGCAATAGCACGATCTCAGCTCACTGCAACCTCTGCCTCCTAGGCTCAGGCAATCCTCCCACCTCAGCCTCCTGAGTAGATGAGACCACAGGCACACCACCACGCCCAGCTAATTTTCTTTATTTTTGTAGAGAAGGGATTTCACCGTGGTGCCCAGGCTGGTATCGAAGTCCTGAGCTCAAGTGATCCTCCCTCCTTGGCCTCTCAAAGTGCTAGGATTATAGGCATTAGCCACCCTGCCAGGCCAATAATAACTATTATTAAGTCATTTGAAGATTCTATTTTTTGATATAATGAAACAAGTATATATTTACATCCTTGGGGATTTCTATCATATAAACACAGCATATAGCCCACCAAAAAAGAAAGAGACTAAGACTCAGATCAAGGTTAAATTAAGGTCCTAAGTCTGCCACCTATTAGCTTAACTGAAAATGATCCCGATATCACAGACTTTTGTCAGGAGTAAAGAGCAGAGATAAGAAGGTTACTAAAATTTAATATCTCATAAACATGAGATTCTTAAGATAAACAAATCAAGATAAAATCCCTATAAAAAATTACTGTCCATTTTACAGATAAAGATACTGAGGTGCAATGATTTAAATTAATTCTCCTCAAAGTCATATCGCAAGTTGAGTGGTGGAACTGTGACAGAACTCAGATCTAAATCTTACTGCTCCTTCCACTACGTTATACTGAAGAATATGAAATAAACACTCCATAAATTATATACTGTTACGGTAACAGTGGGAAGTGAAAATATTTTTTATTATAATGAAGAGGCACATTATCCTTCCCAAAAAATAAGGACTTTTAAATTATGTTACATATTCATATATTTAAGTTATTCTAGATGCCACTTGATATGATATGATATGATATGGCCGACAAGTGTGAATAGTCTCCACATACATCCTTCAGTATTTTAAACGTACTGCCTCTGGTATTTTACAAGTTTGAATATCAGCAGTCAGTTAGCCTCAAGTGGACTTATCTACTTTTTGCAGGCCTATGTTATTCTTTAAACAGAAGGGAAGAGCTGCACTTCCAACAGAAACGCTGCCGGCTTCTAACAAGCCACCACTAAAGCACAAGACCACGTGGTCTCTTAGAAGCCTAAGGTTCCCTACTCCTCTCCCTCCTTTGACAAGGAACTGGAAATTAAGGTTTCTCTTATGTGGAGCCCTGACATGCCACCTGTGTAATACAGACCACAAACATCCTGCAGCCTACCTCCCGGAAGACTGCAGGAATCAGAATAAAAGGGAACTTGGACGCCGACAATTCTAGGAAAGGAAATGAACGAACAGAGAAGTTAAGCCAGCGAGACCGTGATAAGCCGCAGCACCCGGACCTGTCAAAACAGCGTTTTTAAGACTCAAGCCGAACCACTATAACCTATCATTCGGGAAGGCCTGAGGTGGGAGCGGCACTACGGAAGGAAGGAGGACGAAGAGAACCGCACGAGTCAGAGCCGCCGCCGTCGCCGCTCCCCGGATACCTTTCAGCGTGCCCCGGCAAGCCACCAACCCTGACCCTCATCTGGAGTCCAACCTTTGCCCCCACATTTCAGAACCAGCCAAAATCCTGCTGCCCAGGGCGGCCGCCGCCGGACCTGCCCGCACCTGTCACTAGAGAAAGACACCAGTTCGCGGCTCCCGCCCACTTCTCCACTATCCTCGGGAAACCGCGAACATCTCAACCCCTTTCTCTTACCAGGTGTCCCCTTTCCGGAGCGAGGTTTTGAGCAGCGTAGCGATGTCAGACCGCTGGGTGTCCAAATCCGCCGCTCCGCCTTCCGCCATCTTCTTCCACTAGCGGTAGGGGAGGTGGCAGAGACGGCGGCGGCACGCCCCAGAGCATTATGGGAATGGCGTCCCACGGCCCCTCCCAGGCGGCCGGTCGAAACCAAAAAGCATTGGAAGCGGGGGTGGTCCCTGGGACAAGAGGAGGCCCCGGGGGCGGGCTGGGTGCCCGGCCGTGGTCTGCTGCCCCCCATCGGTCCCCGCCCGTCCAGCATCTTGCCTTGGCCTCCTTCGGCCCAGGACCGCCAGGCTTTAACTCTCCTCGCCGCTGACTGCTCCTGCGCTCTCTTGCTAGAGCGATGCCACCGCCCCATCCTCCTATCCTCAGCATTTCCTTCTCCTCCCTCTTTCCCACTGATGCCTTGAAAACCCTTATTTGCGCATTCACTCACGCTTGAGAGTGAGGTAGGGTGGGGCGGGGGGCGTGGGACGGCTAAGATATGGCAGAAAATTTAGCTGCTCCGTGAGTGGGCTTTTCGTTTCATCCAAGCTCGGTGAATATGGGCACCCACAGAAAACATTCCGAAACCGAACGCTTGGCCTCCATGCCCTTCCTGGGTACCTTCCAGTGCTCTTACTCCTGTTGTAGGTGGGGACCCCTTTATAGGCTGTTTGTGGCTCCTCCCCAGGCACACCCAGAAGACTAAGCTGCAGTGAAAAACAAGTCCCAGTTCAGCGGTGAACACGGAGTAGAATATGGACAATATTGAATAATGCCAGCTACTAAAGGAAGAAAACGTATGAGAAACCCTCTTTATGTAAGAGAGTAACATATTCTTAACCTCGTCTTCCTAGGGTGCTATATACCTGAAATGAAACTAGATCATACTGTCTTTCATTTGAAGTCAACGATTATGTTTCAAATTAGACAATTGAGTCACTTAAAAATCAAATGCCAAGGTCACACAGCAGGTGGAGAGGTAAGAGGAGAGGCTGGTTCAAGAACCCACGTAGTATACAATATAGCACACTCACTGCCTCTTCTTATGAAAGCCTGAACTAAAATGTAAACTCCTTAAGAGCTGGAACGGGGTTCATCTTTTGTTTTGTTTTAACCTCTGTACACCTGGTGGATAGCACAGTACTCCTTGACATGAATAAATAACCTAAATATTTGTTTAATAAATGAATTGTGGCAAAGTTACTTAAGTATTCCCGAGCATGACTAGGGGTTTGCTTAACCTACCATATTGATGTCAAAAGTCTAAAAGATGGGCTAGAAACCCCGCATCATTTCTCGTTTCCCCATTTTAAACCCTAACTCATTTGGTAGGAATGAAATAAAGATAGGTGTAGTTATGCTACTAGGAAGAGCTGAATCCTTCCAAGTGAAAGTAGTGTATATTAGCATTATGATTTGTGTATAGCAGTATTATGATTATGATTGCTTATTTCTGGATAATAATACTGTTTTGCATTATCATGCCAACCTTGAACTGAGAGTTTTAAAACAGCTTTCAGTGACCGCTATTTCTGGCTTTTCTCCTGACAGGTTAAAAGATTAAGAGTTTCTGTAACCATAGCTACCCTCTAAAAGTCAGATTTCCCCCCTTTTTCCAGTCACTCTCTGAAAGAGAACAAACTAATTATCTGAAGAGAAGCCCCATAATATAGAAAACATATGTTGAAGCCACATGGATGTAAGTTGAAACTCTCCTCGCTTCAACCTTTAGCTTCAAAGTTCTTACCCTTTAATTAATCATAAAATTGAGTATAATAATATCTACCTTAAAGAATTTTTATGAAGATTGAATGAAACAATGTGTGTTTATTGCCTGGGACATGATAGCCATTCAGTAAACACTAGTATCATTTATTGATGACAGGGTGAATTGTACAGTATGTGAATTATACTTCAAAAGTCTCTCGAAAAAGAGTGTTAGGGGCTTTGAAGGCAAAACTGTGCTCTCCTTCATTTTATAAATGTAACACGTAGGAATAAATAATTCATACCCTAATGTCCAATTTCCCTTAAAAGAAAATGTATTTTTTGAAGTATTGACACCTACAACCATACAACAAAGTAAAGTAATATTTTCTTCACTTGCACCATGCTTAAGGCAGCAAGTTAACTGGATATAGATGTGTAAATTCAATGCCAATTTGAATTACACATCAGATTTCTGGGGCCATTTTGTAGACCTAACTAATTGCCATCAAGAAAGTGGTAAAATTATGTTACAGTATTTTATTTAGCAAACACAGAGTGCCTAGCATGATTCTAAATGCTTTAAAGTACTAACTTAATTCTCACAGCAATCCCATGATGTAGGTACTATTATTATTTCAAATCAATAGATATGGAATTGAGGCAAGTAAGTGGCAGAACCCAAATTGAACCCAGGCAGTCTGGCTGCAGAATCTGGAAAGTTTGGATAAATTTCTATTTTTCTATTGACCTTTGTTGTTTTGTTTATAGCAATCAACTTTTTAGTGACCTCAGTTGATCAATTTAGGGAAATTCTGCTTATTTTACTGATGCTTCTCTCAATTATGAAGATAAATAAGATATTGGGTAAGGTCCACATCCCTACTGAATAATTAAGTAGATAAATTGATGAGAAAAGCGACTTCACCTTAATCACAGATAACTGAATATAAATCAAGGATTATGTCTGCTTATTTAGAATGAATGTCTTCACTGATGCATTCCTTTGTTAACTTTTGGTGAATGTACAATTTGCTTGGTGATTATTATTACCTTCTCAGACTCTCTGTACCTTTCTTGTCAATTTAAAACTTAACCTAGAGAGTTGAGTATGCTGAGTACTTTAGACATTAGGCTTGATGTGAACAAGCTGGACTTTGTAATGTCACAGTTGTGAAATTAGAGATTCTCCAGGAAGGATTTCTTTACCCACTAGTGATTCCAAACCTCTCTACTTACTGATGTTTAAACAATTCCTTTAAGAGAGATTCTTTTACTCAACAGTTAAGAGATGGGACTTCAAGTGTAAATACTTCAGGAGAGACTCAGGCATAACACTAAAGTGTCAAAGAGAACCAGCTTTCAGCATGGGGTGAACAGGAGAAAAAGGAAAAAGCACTGCATTTTGTAATATAGTTTAATGGAGGAAAGCACAAAGGAGAATTCCAAGATAAGCTTTCCGTACTTTATAATTTTGTGTGGGACTGGCTACATGAGCCGAAGGAGAAATCTGCCTAAAATTTGAGTGGACCTAGCAAATCACACACACACACACACACACACACACACACACACACACACACACAATCTGTCTGTCTGTCTGTCTGTCTATCTACCTATCTACCTACCTACAAAATCAGCACACCCCATAAAAGAACAATGTTTGATGACCTGGCTGTCTTTATTTCTCAACTCTTCCTGTCTTTAATATTCAGGAACCACTATCTCAGTTTTTCCTTCTCCTTGTCCTTCCTCTGCAGTTATTCCCACCCACGACTCTACCACCCCCTCATTCTTACTCACCCCTCTAAACCTTTCATTCTTTTATCTTATGTAATCGTATAATTCTCATCTCTCTTTACCAACTCTGAGTAGCTAAAAGGCAGTGGAAAGGCGGGGGAGTAGTGCAAACACCAAAATAGCATGTAGTAAAGTGCTTAATCTGTTAATGATATTTTGAAACTTGTGATACGAATAAAAATTGTAAGTACCATGAGGCAGTTTTGAAAGTTTAAAAAAATTACAGAGGGTCCTTATTTCAGACAAATGTTAGGTTCTTATAAAGAGAGTGAAAATGCAGTAAGATGAACACACTGCCTTTTACAAAGGGCCACTCTACTTGGATTTTGACTCTGGCTTAGTGCCATTAGCTAGCTGGTAACCTTGGCTAAGTTATTTAATCTGTGTGACAATTTGTTTTCTTATTATAAAATAAAGTGATTAGATTTTGGGGGCTGAAACTCAAATACTTGCAGGGTTAGATACAGCTAATGTAAATGGGTGAAGCAAATCTGTTGGGGATAATAAGGAGCTGTGGGGACTGTTGAGTTGACTATCCTAGTTAAAGGTCTAAATTTAAAAAATTAGAGCAAACAAAATTATATTTTCTGTCCTATAGGATCTAGAAAGTTTAATTTTAGCATTGGCATAAAGTCTACAAATTAATTAATCTAGGTTCCTACTTTATATCCTCTTTTATTTTATTTTATTTTTAAGACAGAGTCTCACTCTGTTTCCTAGGCTGGAGTGCAATGGCGCTATCTCGGCTCCCTGCAACCTCCCTCTTTTGGGTTCAAGCTATTCTCCTGCCCCAGCTTCCCAAGTAGCTGGGATTACAGGTGACTGCCACCATGCCCTGCTAATTTTTGAATTTTTAGTAGAGACAGGATTTCACCATGCTGGCCAGGCTAGTCTCGAACTCCTGACCTCAGGTGATCCACCCACCTTGGCCTCCCAAAGGGCTGGGATTACAGGTGTGAGCCACTGTGCCCGGCCTATACTCCTTTTAAGAAGTCCATAAAGCATGCTAGAAAGCTGACTCTACTATGAAATTTGCTATCAATCTGCTCTGTAGTGGACTCTCATTACATTCTGATAGAACTAAATTGATTTGTATTTATTTATTTATTGAGATGGAGTCTTGCTCTGCAGTGGCCTAGACTGGAATGCAATGGTATGATCTCGGATCACTGCAACCTCTGCCTCCCAAATTCAAGTGATTCTCATGCCTCAGACTCCTGAGTAGCTGGGATTACATGCATTAAGCCACCAGCCCAGCTAATTTTTTTTATTTTTAGTAGAGTTGGGGTTTCACCACGTTGGCCAGGCAGGTCTCGAAATCCTGACCTCAAGTGATCCACCTGCCTTTGCCTCACAATGTGTTGGAATTATAGGCATGAGCCAGTGCGCCTGGCCAGAACTAAATTGATTTGAATTGATAAGCAAATAAAGTGTCTAACAGGTCTAGAATTATAATAAAAAAAATCCTTAATAGACATAGTATATATTCTGTGGGTTCTGGATATTTAAAAATTAAATGTATGTATATGGTGGGAAACTTTCAAGAAAGATTTAATTCATCCCAGGCAACCAAAAGTGATATAGGTCAAATCAAAGTTCATAGTAGGAAATATCTGCCTACTTTATA